AAAAAAAAAAAAAGAAAGCATAAATAAATAAATAAAGAACAAAAGAAAGAAAAGAAAAAGGAAAGAAAATGATTCATAACTAGAACCAAAGGAAATCTAAGCTGACCAAAAAGAATTGAACACTTATTTTGTACTTGAAATGTTAAAGTCAGCAATTCTCAATTAGTACATCTCAAACTATTCAGTGTGCCATACATTTGGAAGAATTCATGACATTTGCTTTACTTCACCTGAGACTCTCTGTTGTGATAGATGGTTGGCTCTAATTGGCCATAGTGAGGGTTGGGTCAAGCTTGGTAGTACTACCCATGAAGGAAGGAAGCAATATCAAATAACAGTCATGGTTATAGGTAGAGCTGAGAACTTTGCTTTATGAATATGTGGGAAAACCTGGCAGCATAAAGCTTTATTCAAGCAACAAAACAGTGCCAAATGGAGATCAAATGAATAGCGAGAACACAGGGGTGCTTTTGAAGACACTTGACACACTGTTAGAGTAGTGATTATGTTGTAATTAATGGTGGCTTTGATATTATTTTGCATTTTCTTTGTTATTATGTTTTTGAGATGGACTTTTACTCTTGTTGCCCAGGCTGAAGTGCTATGGCACGATTGCAGCCCCCTGCAACCTCCACCTCCCTGATTCAAGAGATTCTCCTTTCTCAGCCTCTTGAGTAGCTGGGACTACAGGCACCTGCCACCACACCCAGTTAATTTTTGCATTTTTAGTAGAGATGGGTTTCACCATATTGACCAGAATGGCCTGGAACTGCTGACCTCAGGTGATCCACCCACCTCGGTCTCCAAAAGCGCTGGGATTACAGGCATGAGCCATCACATCCCACCTGATTTTGCTTTCTAATGCCTTTTAGTATACCACCAAAAATGAAGGCATTCTCAGTTGCACTGACAACAGACATACACACAAGCATGAAGGATGTGAACAAATGAAGTGAAGAAGGGCTGCAATCCTATGTGTGTACCCCTTCTGCCTGTTTGTCTTAGGAACAAGGGATCCTGGAGCCTC